GAGGGGCGCGGCGGAGAGCCCCCCGGGACTCCCGCGCGGCCCCGGCGAAGCCTGTGCGGCCTGGAGCAGCGCCCGCCCAGGCCCGGGGCTCTCCCCTGGCTAGCGCGCTGTTGTCCTCGAGAGGACGCGCGGCGGCGCCCCTGCGGCCAGTGGGCTCGCCGGACCTGGAAGGGATTGTCATTCTTGGCAGGATTTGGGTCCCGTGTCGTGCTCCGGGGAGGCACCTGCCCCCGTGGTGTCGACCCAAACACTGAAACCCTTGGAGGCAAGCCAGCGCGCTCCGCTTCCTCCGATGTCCGATTTCAGGGGACAGAGGGAGATGTCCACCCCTTCCTGTGACAGGAGTGGAAACTGAGGCCCGGGTCGGGAGGGGACATGTGCCAAGGTCGCCATGAGGTCGCCTTGGCAGCCCGGGGTGGAGCAGGAACTGCTGAGAGGCTTGTTTTTAGCCCCAAACAGCATTATTTTCCGGAGCTTCTCACAGGAGTGGGCAATGTTTTGGGGGTGGACAGGTGTGGTTTGGAGAACGCTCGTTGGAAAATGGATTCAGGCGTGTTTTTCAGGGGAAAGCAGCACAGCCTCTCTGTCCCTGACAGAGATTTTCTTCCTGTGTTGTGACTTCCCGTTTTGTTCTTGGTTAAAGATTTCCAGTGATGGGCATGTAGGGAACAAAGTGCGGAGAAGGGTCTGGGGCTCTTGTGGGAGGAGGCCTCTTGCAGAGCTTCACCCACTCACTCCTGACCCACTTGAAGGTCTCACTTGGCCTCTCTCCTCTTCCTTATAATCAAGACGGCAGTTTACTGAATGCCTCTGGGCGAGGGCCTTGGCCGCATGCCTTCCAGCGGGTCTCTGGAAGACTCCGATAGGAGCCCGCAGCAAGATGAATGCGGAAGATAGGCTGCTGTTTTCCGCCCCTTGAGCCTTTGCAAACAGCTCTCCGTGGCTGGAGGTGGTGGCCACGGGCGGGCGGCCAAGGGGGTGAGGAGGACTCTTGGTTTCCCTCTGCGGGGTAGCACAGTCCCTGAGCTTGGTCCCCTCATCACAGGGTGGAAGCACTCATTCCCGGCTTCAGTCACCCCAGCTCCAGCCAGGAGACTGAGAGGACCCCTGCCACGGGGGCTTGGAGCTGCCCCTGCCCTCTCGCACACCATGGGAGGGGCGGGGGGGGCGGACTCAGTTTGTCTGCACAGTGTCTGAATCCACCTGGGACCTGTGTCTGCTTTCTTCTTTCTCACTTTTTTTTTTCCCTTGAACTTTATTTATTTACTTATTTATTTGAGAGAGAACAGAGAGAGAGTGAGCATGAGCAGGGGTGGGGAGGGGCAGATGGAGAGGGAGAAGCAGACTCCCCGCTGAGCAGGGCTCAATCCCAGGACCCCGGGGTCACGACCTGGACCGAAAGCAGACGCTTAACCCACTGAGCCACCCACCTTTGACAGCTCCACATCTCCGGGGACTCTCAGAAATACCATGCATCCTTTTTCTGCTGGGACAAGTGAATTACTAATGGTGTTTGCCTCTCCTGTCCGGGTCAGCTTCCCAGAAACTTTCTTCAGGGTACTCTGCCAACAGCGGGTTTCCTCAACTTAAGCAGCAAGTGCCTGCCAGGTTGGCACCCATGTCAGCCAAGGCCCCAGGACAGGGCTCTCCCTGGGATTGTCCTCGGCGCCACGGTCCTGGCAGGCCTGGTTGGGAGGGCACCAGTGGGCATCAGTTGCTAGCTGGGTCCTACAGGCTGCTGATGTGGCCTGTCTGTGCCTCAGGTGAAGGGAGCAGGAACCCCCTCCTGGCCAGATGGAGGGGATGGGAGGGGCGGGCGGGTGGAGAGGCCCAGAGCCTGTGGCTGGCATCCCAGAAATGTTCTGTTGCTCCTCCTACCTGAGCGGAGCTGCTGAGGAGGGTGGGGAGGAGGGTGGGTGCTGGCAAGCCTCATCCCTGCTCCTGGGCTGTTTACCATAAGGCCTGCCTGGCCCCGTGCCCTGCCCGGCGGCCTAAGGGCATGGAGGAGGGGTGGCTGTTTTTAGATGAAGGTGACTTGACTTCAGAACAGGGCTCACAGTCACATGGCCAAAACTGATTTTTTACTTTTTGGGCTGTCTCCCTTGTTCGTCCCTCCTGTGCCTGTGTTCTTGAGGATCCCTGTGAATTCCTGGGGTGCCCCCTCCCGTCTCCGGAGCCAGGTGGAGTGTGCCCCGGTCCCCTGCTGCGTGTGACCCTCAGGCAAGGCGGGGGTGTCAGCCTGTGGTTCCTCAGACACACAGGGGGCGGGGGGTGGGGTATGCCCTGCCTTGTCCTCTCTCTGAGACCTGAGTCCCCTGCTCCCCCCTGGGAGTAGCCCTCAAGCCTGTGGTGTTTGGGACACTTCTTTCTCCCCCAGGGAGGCAGGGTGCAGCTGGGACAGATCTGACAGCCCCTGGGTGAGGGGACAAGGCTACAGACACGAGTCCTGAGGTTTTAGAGAGGCAGGCCGGTCTGGGAGGTGGGCTGTCTCTGGCCTCACTTCCTGCCCTGACTCACCACTCCCAGCCCTGCACAGAGCTGTTGGTTTTGCAATCTTGGGAAATCGTGACTCCTGAGAAATGCAACTCACTGGGAGGGGATCCTTTGGCCGAAATGGCGCTGCCACAGAAGGGTTTCAGCCCTCTTCCAGCTTCACGCCTCTGCTTGTCGTTGTACCCGTCCTGAGTCCTGCGAATTGTCTTTCGGCTACCCCGGGTGGGTGGACATGAAGGTCTACCTGTCTCCAGGACCTTGGGGCATGTGCCACCTTGCCCCAGAGCAGAAAGCCCGAAGGCTTCGAGGCTCTACACCTGTATTCACGAGCCCACGGGGGTGGGAGGTGCCCGGGGCGCCAGAGAGGGGCTTCCGTGCAGTTCCTGTCCGCCTCTTCCCCTGCCTGCCTGGGGGTCTGAGACCTTGTGTCCTGTCCACCCTGGCCGCGGGTCTCACCTCCTCACACAGAGACCGCCGCCACCCCTCCCCCAGACTGGAAGTGCCTCGAGGGGAGCCAGGGCCTGCGGGTGTTGTGTTCCTAGCGGGACGGGAGGGGAGCTGTCAGCCCACTGAGGACTCAAGTGCCAGGGACTCTCTGAGTAGGAGACAGGCACATTCTGCCTGTGAGTCATTCGAGAAAGCTGCCCCGCTGTGATATCCCTCCAGTAAAGATTGCCTGCTGCCCTTTTGGATTTTCAGGTTAAAGTTTCTTTTTTCTTTTTCTTTTTCTTTTTTTAAGATTTTATTTATAGGGGCGCCTGGGTGGCTCAGTTGTTGAGCGTCTGCCTTCGGCTCAGGTCGTGATCCCGGGGTGCTGGGATCGAGCCCCACATCGGGCTCCCTACTCGGCGGGAAGCCTGCTTCTCCCTCTCCCACTCCCCCTGCTTGTGTTCCCTCTCTCGCTGTCTCTCTCTGTCAAATAAATAAATAAAATCTAAAAAAAAAAAAAAAAAAGATTTTATTTATATATTTGAGAGAGAGCAGGCTCACGAGTCGGGGGTGGGGAGGAAGGGGCAGAGGGAGAGGGAGAAGAGGGAGATCCCAGGACCCTGGAATCATGACCTGAGCCGAAGGCAGACGCCCAACCACTGAGCCACCCAGGCGCCCCTAGATTTATCTTTTTTTTTTTTTTAAGATTTTATTTATTTATTTGAGAGAGAGAGAATGAGAGAGAGCACATGAGAAGGGGGAGGGTCAGAGGGAGAAGCAGACTCCCTGCCGAGCAGGGAGCCCGATGCGGGACTCGATCCCGGTACTCCAGGATCATGACCTGAGCCGAAGGCAGTTGCTTAACCAACTGAGCCACCCAGGCGCCCCAGATTTATCTTCTAAAAAAGGAATTTCAGGTGTGTGCTGGGGCTGGGCCCAGCAGTCCATGGACCCAGGCTGGTCACTGGCTTCTGTTCCCACACCTGAGACCCAGTTGGTTAAAACATTTCCGGACAGAAACTGCATCGAGCCCTCTGTTCTCACAGGCGGCTCTTCAGCCCCGAGGCCCCTCTAGCGCAGCAGACGGAGCCGGGTGTGATTCAGGCTTGTGGCTTCTCTCCTCCGGCAGGGCGCTTGGACAGTGTGGAGGGTGTGCCGTGGCAGGGCTGTGCAAGGCCGTGGCAGGCTGGCTCCGGAACATGTGGGCAGGCAGCTTGGGGCCCTGGATTTGGGTCCTTTCTTGCCCTGATCCCTGTGCTCACGTCCTCTCATGTGGCCCCCCAGGGAGCGGGATCTGGACTTCCGTAGATGATATTGGCTCCAAGACACGGCTTACCTGTACCTTGAATCACAGCACCACTGAGATCATCGGCCACCGCTGGGTGAAGGGGGGCAAAGTGCTCAAGGAGGATGCACTGCCCGACATGAAGACGGAGTATGAGTGAGTGGGGTCCAGAGGCGGGTGCCCCAACCTGCGCCAGGGCCTGCAGAGATGCCAGACCCCCATTTCAGCCCGCGGGCATCACCCCTAGGCCCCTCCCTGCACCCCACTTGCTCCAACGTGTTGTTGCTGCCCGCGGCCTCTGTGGTCAGTCGGAACGAAGGCTGGAGTCCGTGGGCTCGCTCTGGACAGACGTTAGACGTGAGCTCTGCTCACGCCCCCTGGCTGTGAGATGGCCAAGGCCCCAGATCCAGCCAGGGGCCAGGGGCTGCTGAATGTGGGGCTGGCCTGCGAGACCCTTCCCTTCTTTCCCCAGGGCGCTGGCTCGGGTGGGCGGGCAGACTTGGGTTCTCCCCGGCCTGAGTTCCTGGCTCACTGAGGTCGCGGGCACTCCAGGCCGCCCTGCTCTGACGCCTTGACTTAGTCAGTTCCTGAGCCGGCTCTAGAAGCAGAGAGTCCTGTTTGTTTCAAGGGCGGCTGGGCACACAGGCTCACTGATGCAGGCCTCCGGTCATGGAGGGGGGACCGGTTCCACATGCTGTCCCCGCACCTCCTCGTCCCTCCTGACCAGTCCTGGCTCCGGTCGGTAGGAGTCCCCCGCAGCGTGCTGTGGTGTGAACTGAACTCAGGACAGGACGGCACTTCTGCGCGTGCTCCGCTCACTGCCGTGCGTCTCTTACAGGGTGGACTTGGATGAGCGCTCTGGGGAGTACTCGTGCATCTTCCTCCCGGAGCTGGCGGGAAGGACCAGAATCGAGGTGAAGGGTGAGCTTGGCCGGCCCTTGGGCGCATCTGGGGAGGGGGCGGAGGACACCGCCTGCCAACCCAGCAAGGGCACTGCTTAGGAACCGCCAGAGAGTGGGCTCAGGCTCCTGCCTTGCTCGGTCTCCCCTGTAGGGCTCCCCAACATCAAGGCCGTGAAGAGGTCAGAGCATGCCACCGAGCGGGAGACGGTCGTGCTGGGCTGCAAGTCGGACTCCTTCCCCCCGGTCAGCGAGTGGGTGTGGTACAAGATGGAGAGCTCTGGGGACCAGGTGAGACCCGTGTCTGCCTGGGGACGGGCTGGCCTCGGGCTCGGCCTCAGTCCCTACAAGGTCCACCTGCCCCCAGGTCATCAGCAACACCTCCCATAGCAAGTACCTGGTGACATCCTTGGAGACCAAGACGGAGCTGTACATCTCGAACCTGGACCTGGAGACAGACCCTGGCAAGTATGCGTGCAACGGCACCAACTCGGAAGGCACCAGCCAGGCCATCATCGTGCTGCGAGTGCGAAACCGCTTTGCCGCCCTCTGGCCCTTCCTGGGCATCGTGGCCGAGGTGCTGGTGCTGGTCACTGTCATCTTCATCTACGAGAAGCGGCGGAAGCCGGACGAGGTCCTGGATGGTGAGCCCGCACGCCCTTCGCTCACCGTTCAGGGCGGGGGGGGATGGGGCGGGGTCCCGGGTCCCCTGCCGGGGGCTCCCTACCCAAGGCCTCGTCTGCCCCACCGTCCTCCCTCACTTGGCTGCAGGTGGGTGTCCTCCGTGGCCAGTGGCCGCCTTCCGCTGCTCCACCCGTGCTGGTGGTGGCTGCTTGGGGCCCGAGGGTTGCGGCAGCAAGCCAGCTCTTGACTTTGTGCAGAGGCTGCTCAGGAAGCCTGAGCTTCCCCTCCTGCCTGGCGCCTGTGGGCAGGGCTCCCAGATGCCACGCGGGCCGAGACCCCACACGGCTCATCCTGAGGGTGCATGTCCCGGGGGCAGGATTGGCTGCCTGCGGTTACAGTTAGGGACACTGAGGGCAGGGCCCAACAGGACTAGTGCCACCCTGCAAGGGGCCCGGTGCAGGGACCGCTCCTGACGGCCTGCCCTCTCCTTGCATGTGGCCGCGCGTCTACACAGACGAGGACACAGGCTCCGCTCCTCTGTAAGTCGGGGCCTTGCTGGGAGGGGGCGGGTGGGCCGTGTCCCCCGGGCAGCGTCCGCTGTGCACGTGCCGGGTGGGAGTGGGGCCACCGTTCCGTCCTATCCCCCAGGAAGAGCAGCGGGCACGTGAATGACAAAGGCAAGAACGTGCGCCAGAGGAACGCCAACTGAGGTGAGGCGGGGGGGAGGGGAGGGTGCAGGGCCTGCCCAGCCGGCCTCAGGCTGGGCTCCGAGCATCCCTCCTGCCCTGCACAGGCGTCCAGCTCCGTGTGGAGCAGCTCAGCGTCTGGTGTTTGCAGATCCTCTCAAAGGAGACCCGCCCTACGAAAGCAGACCACACCGTGGGTCAAATCACAATGTTTCTTTCCTTTTTTAAACTGAACTAGGGTTTTCTACACATAGAATTCTGTTCCTTAGGGGTTTGTTTTTCCTTTTTAAACATTTTGTGACCACCTCAGGGGAGCTGTGAGCTTCCTGCGAGACTCCTGTCCTCAGCCCATCCCCTCAGCTGCCCCTGCCCACCTGACCCCTCGCCGTCCTCCCACTATCTCCCGCCTGTCCCTCCTGTCCCTTGGGCATTTAGCCTCCAGCCCGTAGTGGGGGTTTTGAAGGGCAGGTTGGCCTTTTTCTGGGGCTCTACCTCCTGAGACTGCTGGGCCTTGTTGGGACCCTTTGTGGAAGGTCACAGGTCGTGCACGGTGCGAGTGTCCTGCCTGTCTGAAGTCCGTGCTGATGGGGTGCCTCGGGTCTGTGCGTCAGGACAGCTCTGCACGCAGCTGCTGGTGGGCCCGCGCTGGCCCGCCCTGCCCCTGCCGTCCACACGCCCAGCTGCAGGGGAGTAGTCCGGCGACCACGCTGCAGAACCCCCTCCCCAGCTGCTCCGCAGCATCCTGACTCACCCACCACCTGCCTGCTCACCAATAAAGAAAGGCCGACCCGTCTCTTTCTCCTTGGGCTCCTGTGTGTGCCGCCATGGTCTTAACAGGAGAGCTAGCGGGGGCGTGAGCGCCACGTGGTGCTGAGTCCTGGGTGCGGTTGGGGTGCATGGGGGTGAGGCAGGGCTAACCGGCTGGCCAGCTTTGTTCCCAGGATGAAGGGTGAAGGTGGGGTGGGGGGTGCAGAGGACCTCAAGGGGCCCTGTGAGTGCTCCAGAGCAGGGCTGGGCCCCCCCAGGACAGGCATCCCTCCCGTACCCACAGCTGCCTGGCATCCACCTGTCCCGGGCTAGAAGCTCCCTGCGGTGTGTGATGGAGGTGGGGGTGGGGGCAGCCGGGACCTCATGAGAGAGCCCCAGTGGGTGTCCCCAGTAGGACCAGCCCCTTGGGACTTTGCTCCAGCCCAAGAGGGGCTGGCTGAGGCCTGGAAAGCCATGGAGGTGGCCCTCCTGAGCCTGACCCCCAGAAGGGGGTCCCTGTCCGCTGAGCCCAGGCTGACCCCTGGAGCAAACTGGGCGACATGGGTGGGGTTGAAGGGCTGGGTCATGCTCTAGGAGAGCAGATGGGAGGAGGCAGGGCCTCGCCAAACCTGGGGGCTCTAGCAGGTGCCATCTAGGCCTCCCTCCCGCCTGGTGCTGGAGGGGAAACACTCCCAGGGAAGGGAAAGGGCTCGTTCAGGGAGACCCTGCTGCCCACCGAGGGACTGTGTTTGCCCTCCGCCTCGCCTCTGGACATGGGCCCAGACCTTCAGCAGGTCCGGAGGAGGTCGTCAGAAATCAGGGTTTGGATGTGAAATCTGATGTTGGCAAAAACTCCAGCATAACGATACCCCAAATGCTGAAGATGGACTCAGCCCACGAGCCACCAGTTTGACTCCCAGGCTCTGAAATGGGAGGCCCGACCCCTCTGGGTGGTGGCCGACCCGTGTGCCCCAACCCCACTGGCCAGATGCTTCACCACGTCCCCCAGGGCGGCAGTACAGAGCTGCAGGTGGTTTCTCTGGGCTTCTGTGGGCAGAACGGGGTCCTTTATGGAGGCCCCACACACCACAGCCTAGGGAGTTTGCCCCCCACCCCAGGTCACAGGGAGGAATGCGAGGCCCCAGGGCTAGGGGAAGCAGCGGGCCTCGCCCTTCCCTCCGGCCGTCACCAGAGGGAGCCACGTGCATGCCACTGAACAGGGTTTGGGGGCCCAGGGAGCCCCTCCTCTTCAGAGGTTCTTGGGGTCGCACCTGCCTGGCCCTGTGGACACCCCAGCTGGACATGCCCCAGGGCCAACCTCCCTAGGCCCTGGGGCTCCCTGGGGCACCAGCAACATTGGCTGGGCACCCCTGGCCTAGCTGGGGCTGGGGGATCCGTCGTGGACAGGCAGCGGTCTGGTGGGCGAGGAGGTGGTGAGGAGCTGGCCCCTCAGTGGGGTTGCTGCTGGGGCACCAGGGCTCAGGTGCAACCCCCCTCCTCCCCTGAAGTCAGAAGGGGTGGGCATAGGGGTCTGTGTCCCCTGGGAGGCCATGGCTGGGTTCATCCTGCTTCCTGCTGCATCCCGGGTGCCCAGAGCAGAGGGGTCCAGACGGGAAGTGTGGGAGCTTCTGGCAAGCAGAGCCTTGGGCACCAGAGGAATGCCGTGGAGCACGCTCTGTGATGTGGTGAGTGAGGCTTGGCCTCCTTAGCAGACCCCTCATTGGTCCTCCTTCCCTAAGAGACCCTCCCCCCACAGAGAGACGCCCCTCGCATGGACACAGTTAGCAGAAATGGGGTCACTCTCAAGCAGCTTTGTACTCCTTCTTTCAGCACTGAAGTATCCATCCATCTGTCCATCTCTCTGTAGAGCGCAGTAGTGTGTAGCCCTCCGCCGCGGGGGGTGATCTTGTCAACAGCCTGCTGCAGCCTGCCTCAGTTTCCCCAGAGCGGGATGGAGAAGTCACAGGATTCAGTGAGATCATCTTTGGCCAGTGCTTGGGGGCTCTGGAACCGGTGTCTCGGGATCCCAACCTGCGGGGGGTCAGAGGGGCAAGGCTGGGGTGTCCCTCCGAGGAAACAAGGGCACAGTCCTGATGCTGCTTGGAAGGGCCTGCTGGCATCTCTGGGCCCACAGACAGGGCTACCTCCCTTTCCCTGGGACCCCCCTCCCAGACCGGGGGCCCCTGAGCACCTCCCCATTACAGTGAGGGCCTCGCCCAGCAGCAGAAGACAGAGTGGAAACAAAATGGGACAGACGTGTTGGGGGGTCACCAGAGTTTGGTCCTCCCACGCCACCCTTGCACCTACTGGGGAGAATGATCTCTGTGAGGAAAGGAAAATCCTGGTGAATCCTAGGTCAGCAGAGCTGGGGACCCCAACCTGGTCGTGCAGCCAGCGGGAAACCAAGGTGGTAGGCTGCTCTGCCTGTGGGCACTCGCCACTCCGGGCGGGTCGCGAGGGCTGGCCCTGCACCATGATGACTCCAGACCCAGGCCAGGGGTCCTGCCACCATGGCTGATCAGACATTCCGTGTTTCTGGAGTCTGGCAGTGGGCTCTGTAGCCCTTGAGGCTTGAACGCTGGGACCCGTCACAAGGCCCTGGCCTTGTTTTGTCTTCCGGGTCTATTTTTCACTCAGAGGGTCCCCAGACCCTCTGGGCTTGGGGGCTTTCGACCTGGACTTGTCCCGACTAGAGAGGAAGCGGGCTCGTGAGTGCTGAGGGCGGCTGGGAGGTCAGGAGGTGCCCTCCCAGAGCCTATTCTGGGGCCCAGGAATGGTGAGGAAGAATGGGGGGCAAACTGGATGGTGGGGAGGGATTGGGGTTTCTTTCCAAAGGCAGTGGGGAGTTGAGAGCAGTTTTAGGCAACAGACCATTGAGACCTGACTCAGGGTTTGATACCTGTCGGCACAATGATTGCCACCTCTGAGTGTCCTCACCTTCACCCACCCCCCTGGGACCTTGGGATCCTTTCTTCTCCCACAAGCCAGGCACCATGCTGCCTCAGGGCCTTTGCACGGGCCATACCGCCTGCCAGACACTCTTCCCACAATGCACTCATGACACCAGCTCTCCCTTCCTTCAGGTCTTCCCTCAGACATCACCCCCAGCACCTTTCTCATCCCTTTCCTGACTCTGAGTTGTGTAACACTGACCACCTTCTGATGGACAATAGAATATCTATTAAACATAATCTTTACCATGTTGATTGTCCCTTCCACTCGACTGTCAGCAGGGTACAGGTGGCCTGAATCCCAGCCCCCCAATCAGGTGCTTAGTAAACATATGTTGAATGAATGCAAAGAGTACTCTGCCCCGGGCAAGTGGTGAGAGGGAGTGGGAGAGATGGGGAGGCTGGTGGCCATCTGGCCCAGGGTGGAGCCTGTGGGATGGAGAGGATTTATTAGGACCTGGGGACAGGGTCCCCAAGGCCCAGAGAGGGGCTGGGACCCCCTAGGTGACTCACAGTCCAGGCCTGCCTCTCTCACTTCCAAGCGTTGTGGGTCCTCAGGCTGGACCATGGGTCTGCCGCCTCCCTGCTCTCAGCGGCGAGCCGTGGGGCTCTGGCGTCCTGCCCGGACTGACATGCTCCCAGGGTGAGCATAAAAGATCCCCCTTCAGCTGGAACACACATCTGCCTGGGGCGGGCTGCAGCCTGGCACTGCCGATCTGCTGCCCGCCCAGCTTCTCCCTCACCACCTCAGGACAGAGAGCAGCCCTGCCCGCCCTCCCGTGTGGCGGCAGGTCTGGCCTGGCCCAAGGCATGGCAGAAGTGGCCTCCTGGGAGGCCAGACCTGCTTGGCAGAAGCACGGGAGTCCCCAGGGCTTGAGGCAGCCTGGTGGGGGCTCAAGATGGCCCGGCTCAGTCCATCCCTCAATCACCCAGGAGTGCCTGCTGTGAGCAGAGAGACAACATCTCTGCTTTCAGGGGCCAGACATACTGGCAGGTGCATGCACCCACAGAAAAGTGCTATGAGAGCGGGAGGCTCCCAGGAGGCCAGGACACCCGTCTCTCCTCTCTGTCTCCATTACCTGCCTCTCAGGACACCTCCCCCCACCCTCTGGTTGAGCTGGGATGGGGTCCTAGGCCTATGCCCCCATGTCACCAAACACCAAATAACCCCCCAACCTGACTCCAGCCCCAGACACAGAGCCTCAGCTGTCTTCCCAGAGCTGGGGCCTGAGCCTTAGAGGCAGAGAAATGGGGGCAATCCGGTGGGACTCCCATGTGGGCATCTGGTGGGAAAGGGTGAGGGAGGCTGGGTCCCCCCCATGACCCTGGGAATTTCTCCATTTGGAAGCCCACCAGCCTCACAGGAGACCACAGCCCCCCACTGAACTTCAGGGCATTGTTTGGGGGGGGGCACCAGTACCATCGGGTGGCTCTTGCTGTTGGCCCATCTTCCTCACATGCAGGAGGTGGGAAAGAGCGAGTGACTGTGGGACTTGGAGACTGGCCGCCTGGCCCCCATTTTGCCCCTCCGCACACAACACATTCCCACCGGTCTTTGTCCCGGGCCTTCAAATTACAAAGCAAGGGCTCTTTTGGCCTTTAAAAACATCCTTTTAGGGGCGCCTGGGTGGCTCAGTTGGTTAAGCGACTGCCTTCGGCTCAGGTCATGATCCTGGAGTCCCGGGATCGAGTCCCGCATCGGGCTCCCTGCT